GAATCACTGAATGCAATTTGTGATGCTTTTCTTTTAGAGTATCTTGTAGTGATTTCAACTGTTATCTTAATTTTGGTGTTGATGTTATTTGTTAAGTGCTCTATTACATATCTTGTTGTGATAGTGTATCCAATTTTATGGAAAATCATTTAGCTAGCTTTTGGACAAAGATTTAGTTGAAACTCGAAAAAATAAAATTTTGAAGTTGTGTTGAAAAATAAAATTTGGAAGTTAGGTTGTTCTATTCTCGTCTAGTTGAGTTCTTCAGCCTGCCTCATAGTATAATTGAAGCCCTTGTTTTGAAATGCTTATCTGATTCCATGTAGTTGCATTGCGTGTCAGGCCGATGCTATCATATCAAAATTTCGAAAAATTGAAAACCTTGAGAAGGATGTCAATCCAACAATTTTGGTTGCAGCTGACACAGTATGTCTTGCCTCTTTTGCCTTTTCTATCTCCCCTCCAAAAGTTATTTTTCTATCTTCTATTTGATGAAATGAAACCTACAATATGCTATTTCTGCCAGTGCTTTTGAATGATGATAAAGTTGTGTGGCTTTTCTTTTCTTATATTGTTTTCTTGCTTTTATGCTTTGTACTGGGCTTTTCCTGAGAGTGCTTTTCTTCTTTCAAAATGATTTGATTTCTTGTTGGTAAATTGGAGGATGATTGTGAATTCTGACGTCCACAAGCAGGCATAATTTCACACTTGTTTTCTTTTTTCGCATGATAAATTCTTTGCATTTATTGGACTTTGCTATATAGTCTCAAAGCATACATTATAATTGGCATTAACCTGAATTGCTGGAACTATAATCAGGCAGAAGCCATCATACCAAGGGTTTCCATTGGTGAATCCGAAGGGGATGCCGAGCCAACACTTCTAATTACCTGTGATCAAGTATACTTAATTTCTATTCTTCTCATCATTTACGGTTAAATATCCGTTATTGACTTACTATAATGTTTTCACTAGTACATTATCTTTGTTTTCTTTCGTTTTTTCCCCAAGCTAAAATTTACTTCTTTACTTGAGGTGTTTGGTTCAAATATAACACCTGTCTCATCTTCTTTTGAGCATAAAGTGGTGTCTTTCCAAAGAGCTAATCTACATTATACGATCCTGCATTCCTTTTGCATGAATTGATAACAATATTTGACTGAGATGATACCATCTTCCTTCAAAATCCATTGTCAAGATTTGATTAGTGTAGAACTCTCAAGGGTCAATGAAGTGGCGAGAACCATGAGGTATCATGTTCAAATCCCAACCCCAATCCCAACGGAGGAAAAAATACTGGGTGATTTCTTCGTATCTTCCTAACCCTTGGTGGGTAGATTTATCCATTACCTGTGCTGGTGGGAGATAGCAAGTATTCGGTGGAATAGTTGAGGCGCACACAAGCTGGCCAAGCACCACCATCATTAGATAAAAAGGAAGATCTGATTGGTGTTTAGATATGTAGTCCCAGCACCTCTACCAATCACCCATCGGTTTCGTGCTTTCGCCTCTCAAAATAGTTTGCCACTTGATTAGGTGCATCATCTTTCCACAAGAATTTTGGTGAGTGGTGATGTGACATTCTAGTTCACATGTTTGGGAACTTTTTCTGCCTGTCCAATCGTTCTCTGTTTTCTGCCGTTTATTGATGTATATGCTTTTCTATGTTAATGATCTTATCCTAACTTGAAATGATCTGGAGGTGGTGGTCTATGAAGGTGTGGTCAGGGAAAAACCATCCAGTGAAGCAGAAGCACGGCAGTTCATGAAAGGTTTACCATTGCTTTAATCGATTCCTTACTGTATTAATTTTATAGTTCTGCTTGTCTTACTCTGTCAACTTGCAGATTACGCCAATGGACATGCAGCAACCGTGAGTTCTGTTCTTGTCACAAACCTGGCAACAGGAAGCAGAAGAGGAGAGTGGGACAAAGTCGAGGTACCTCTGTTGATTTCTCTCATTTTCAGTTATCAGATAGGTCTGTATGGCTTTTTAGTTTTTAGTTTTTTCAATGGGTTTGCGTCTACTTCCAATCTCAAATTGTTGCAATGCGTACCTCTTATTCTAAATTTTGATAAATAAAAGTCTAAAAAGTTCAGCAGTGATGAATGACTACTATGCATCGGGATAGGCTTATTGGATACCTCACAAGGTTCCAATTCCCAATAGCCATTCAATTAAAAAGTTTACAGAGATGAGTTGGTGGAAAGTTGAAGTTAGTTGAAGTTGGGCCCGATTGGAACTATGTATTTGGATTTGTGGTATGAGGAAAATATTGTAACTGCAGAAATGATGTTGAAATATTGATGACACTCTATAAATTTCTCTTTCCCACATATTCAACAATTACCACGTTCTTAGGTTCTCAAGATTATTACATCTAAATGTTGTACATTAACTACTTGAGATATTCAGCCTAATCGCTTTTGATTTATTTTCACCCGTCTAGGAAGAGTGATAACATTTCTTTTGGTTGCAGATTTATTTCCACGACATACCAGATGAAGTCATAGATAAACTGGTATTAGTTTTATCTGAATTGTTAGTTATTGATCATATCAAATGATGGATGCTGTAGCTATTGTCTTACAATCTTTTTTTTTCTTGACCAGATCGAGGAAGGGACAGTTCTTTATGCAGCTGGTGGCTTGATAATTGAACATCCTCTCGTTTTGCCTTATATTAAGGAAGTGGTAAGTGTTACACTACCACCTTACGCTCTAATATCAGCCAACTTAAATCATAGTCGTGATGGTGTTAGCATTTGTTTGTTTGATCCTTTGTCCTTATAGAGACCTAAACTTTTATGAAGCCGTTGATGCCAATGTAATAAATATAAAATGATGGGACAAAATATCTTTGGAATTCCCTAATCAAACGAAAGAACTTAAACTGATTTTTTATCTAAGGCAGGATTCCCAGATCGTGCATTTTCAACCCCAATGCAAATACAAATGAATTCTTGCCCTGATTCATGTCAAGGAAGAAACTGATATGCTCATTAGGCCTATGGAAAAACCGCTTAGGAGATTCTAAGGGTGTTTTTTCCTAAGGCATGATTGAGTGAGAAGTGTCTAGCAACACTAGAGTTGTCAAAAAGGGCCGGCCCAGCCTCACCCGGCTCAAGTCTCGCGGGCCAGAAATTTAAAGGGCTAGGGCGAGCCGGCCCTTCAAACCCTAGAAGGGCCGAGGGTGGGCTAGCCCTTCTTTTTTTTTTCTTTTCGGACTTTAAATTCTATAACATCAAGAAAATGAGAAGATTTTCAAATCAAATATGACAAACAATAGGTGTTGTTTCAAAAACACTAGTAAAATATCTAATGTAATTAACGTGTATCTAGGATACTAGATATGCGAGATACATGTATCTAATGTGATACATCCCAGATATGCGAGCGAGATAAGAGAGTGGCAAGTGAGATAGGAGGGAGGCGATGACACGGGATTTGTCTATGTATCCTAGATACATGCGAATCCATTTGGATAAAGTGTATCTTGAACAAATTAACCTAATTTTGAGTCCATGTATCCCGAGATACATGTATCTCGACGCACCAAAATTTGGTAAAATTCATAATATTACAACATAGCGTGCATTTAGGTAACTCATATACTAGTGAGATTGTTGTAAGTTACACTTAAATAAATAGTTTTTTGCCCATGGGCCGACCCCGATCAAGCCTCAAAGGCCAAAGGCTTACATGGGTTGGGCTTAAAAGCCCTAGTTTTAAATGAGTTTGAAAAATCTTATCCCAACCCTACCTCAATAACAGATTAGGTTGGACCAGCCCCATGGGTTAAGCCCATTTTGACGGCTCTAAGTAAGACAGAAAAGATATTAAAAGTGTTTTGCATTAATCGTGAAAGGAACTTGTCCTTTGTATACAATGTACCATAAAAAATGTACCTTTTAGAATCTTTTTTCCATAAAAATCTAGTCTTTTAGATCATGTCACCTTTCTTACTTGATTTTACCAAGCACTAAATGCTTGTGACTTGGTTGCCAACCACTGTAAGAAACTTTTAGTACTTATTAAAGTTCATTTGATTTCGAAAATTCTGCATAATATTAATACCATATTTTGTAAAATGATTTTTATTTGGGCAGGTTGGCTCGACTGATAGCGTGATGGGTCTCCCAAAAGCTCTCACCGAAAGACTCATAAAGGAGGTTCTTTAGTATGACTATGATCCTGCTCCTACCTCATTCCTATAATGAATTTTTTAACTGCAACAACCTAAGTATACGCTATTGGAGCTGAAATCACCATGAGTGATGGCACTGGTCGTGCCCTTCAATGAATCCTCGTTAAGGGATTTAGATTGTATTCGTTCCAATTACCAGACTCGTAAAACTCAATATTGTTACTTATGTTACTACCTTCATGTGGTTTCATCTAACATCTCTTTAACAATCAACTCCTGTAACATTATAATGGATTTACGTTTTTCTTCTTGGAACTAATTTTTTGTGATATGATATATTATATATTCCAATAACATTTCACTATAACACTCAAGAAAATATGCAAACAAATGATGCCATTATAGAAAAATTTGTCTGTATAGTGATAATACAATATTTTGATTAAGATACCGTTAGTTAATGAAACCTAAAAGAAATTTAAAAACTTTTTACTACTGTTATTTTTTAGTAAGAAAATTGATTTGTCATTCTATTGAATATTACTACTAATGAGCATTCTCCTCCACTGTCCAGATAATACTGATACGATAAAAACAACTTTTAGCGGTAAAAAATATGTACATTAACAAAAAGTGTTAAAGTTTTTATCGGCATTAGTTGATTGTCATTGAATCCAATGTCGTTATAGGCTCTAGGGGCATTTACAAAGTGTGCTAAATGTCACTAAAAAAATATATTTAGCAACAATTAAGTTATTATCATTAATTAATTACCGTTAAAAAAAAATCCTTATTGGTGTAGTGTATAAAGAGGACAAAATTTGTACCCATGGAATCCATACGTATAACATTAACACATTACATTATATGTTTTAACAATATTTCGTTATAACACCAAGAAATTTAAATATGCAGATAAATGATGATGTTATAGAAAGGTTACATTTGGAAACGTACTTCGTACATGTATATATAGTTGCTCAAAGGAAATTTAATACAATGAAAACCAAATTTAAATACCTAAAGTTTTTTTAAAAAGAAAAATCAATTATATCCTTCTCTTATTATTAATTATTAATTTACTGCATATTATGAGTTCCATAAAATAGTCTCTTCTTGCTTTCATTGGAGCTTCAAATACTTCAGCCTGTCAAAAAAATATAATGAACGTGTCATAAAATGTAATTATGATATAAGATAAATATAAGTAATCGTTCATAAAATCGAAATTAACAAGTCAGATTATTTGATACAACATGTTAAAAGTACATAGACTATTGTTATAATTTAGTTTACCTTTGTTCTTCATCCATGAAATTGTAGCCTTTATTATTACGACCACTATTATAATTAGGTAATGGAACATTTCCAGACTCGATACGCTTAATATCTTCAACAAGTTTTTCATAGTGATTTTTCACTTCTTCTTCTGTTTTTCCACCAACTGCATTGGCCAATTTACGCCATCGATCTGGCGTATCGATGTCGTAAATGGCCAATGCATTCTCAAATAACTTGTTTTGATGATGACTCCACGTTGAATTTGTGGCCATATTTGCAAAAAAATTGAAAAAAAATGTATGTTGTAATAAAAGAAAAATGTAGTGAAGAAATTGGTGTGAAAAAATGTTAACATATTTGTTCTATTTATATAGAAAAAAAATCATGTTGGAGACAGAATATGGTGGGCCGGTGAAGAAAATACTCTTTTTAAAAAAATATATATTTTTGAGTTTGATATGTTGTTATTGATTTAAAAACCAGGAGAAATTTTGTAACTCCAACATGGTTTTCTTTTCAACTAATAGTAATTAATTAGTTAATTAATCCTGGAAATGTGGTAGATTTACTATTTATGTTGTTCGATTTTTTCAAAAATGTTGTCTCAATATTTGTATCATATTCTAGAAAATGCACTACTTTCATAAAGAATTCGACGGTCAATACATTGTATAGCATTTTAGAAAAGCCAGAGCAATATTAAAGAAATATTTTTGAAAAATCAATACAAACTTATGCCTTATTTGTTTCCACTAAGATTAAAACGTCTGAATCTGAATAAACATATGAATATTAAGATACATATGTGCAAATTCACTTAATTACTTTGGGAAAATATTTTAGTCATGTTGAAATTAAGACATAATTATTTGTATAGATGAAGATGACAATCTAAATTTACTTGAAATTGAGATATAATTATTGTATAGACAAAAATGACGATCTAAATTTACTTAAAATTGAGACATAATTATTGTTATTAGCTGAAAGTATTGATAACCTAGACAAGGTTTCCTTAATCCAAGAAAAGTTGTACTAACCCCATGATTAATGTTTTTTTTTTAAATTTTTATTTATAGCTTATAGCTACATTCAAGTAATTCATGGCATTTCTTAGTTGTAACGTAAAATATAAGTGTACACTTTCCAATGTGTTGAAAAGCAAATGGTAAAATTAATTTCCAGCGGCTGAAAAGTGGTTGGATATGATTCTTTTGTTTTTTTTTCATGTTTTTCATATTTTTAAATTTATTTCGAAGATTTGGTACATTATAATTAACGTTATTTGAAAATTTATCTGTTCTTATAACGATCTCATGTTAATATCATGATAGTGATTGAGTTTACAGTTACATATTTAGTAGATTTCTAAGGTATATACCTAGTCTGGATGAAAATTACTTAGTTCACGTGAACATGTAATTAGATTTTTAGATCCGTCGTTTGATGACAAATATATGAAAAGTAGCTTTTGCTTTTTTTCCTTTTTGGGACAAATTTTAAACGTGATAAGGCGTGCATTTTTTTCACTTTCTTGTTGCTTATTTTAAACAAAATTCCATACAAGTTTTAGCTGGCTAATTAGTTTCTTTCATTCCGTACAATGCTAATTCAGATTCATGGTTAATTTAGATTTATGTCAAATAGGTCTACTAAAAGTATGGTAAAATGCTCCTCATTAAGAAGTTTTTTGTTTTCATAGGTTCAAGAGTCTAGCTAATTCAGATTCATGTCGAGTCTACTGTCATGATTTATTCAAATTCATATCGAGTAGATCTATTAAAAGTAAGGTAAAATTAAGTGCTCCTCACTAATTTTTATTTTTTATTTTTTTAAAGTTAAATCTCAAATCATTAATTAAAGTTGGAGGGATTCGTACTATAGACGATACATTAGTTTTTGTTCAGTCCAACTGGTCCTTGATAATCTGTCTTGCAAAAATGATCTTTTTTAGTTAACCATTCGATATTCAAAACTTACTGGTTTATGTCAGGTAGGGCCATGAATGGTATCGAAAAAACAATGCTCCTTACCAAAAGGTTTTTCGTTCTCAAAATTAAAACCTAAAATCTCTAGTTGAAGAGGGGTCCATACAGTAGATACTACTAATTTAGATATTCTTTGAATAATTTGATAGCGTAAAATTAAATTCTTACACTAATAATGTATATTAACTTACAAACTCTAATAAGAAAAATAGAAAAAAAAAGAAATTATTAGAGACTGATAAGATTAATACAAGATATTATAGCCTAAATGTTAAAAATAATATGCCAATATCAACAAAGATCATGGTAGATCGATAAGTATTTTGAAGTTGCCTATTTTTAATGTATAATTTGTAGATGCAAATTCAAATTTAATCGATCGAGGTTGATTGATTTCCCACTCATATAGTTGGAATGGAATCCTTATCATCCACTTTGGTATCCAGTAAAACTTTTCATATTTATGGATACTTGTTATGTCCTTCTCACTAGTCTTTAAATCACAAGTATTCTTCTTTTCCTTTCTTTTTTCTCATTGGCTCACCAAAAATAATTTTGCAACTTGAAGTAGGGATTCTTGTTTTAAATACTTTGAAATAAAACCATAGATAATTTTTTTTCAACTTAATTAATTGGCTGTCATTTTTACAAAAAAGAGGTAGTGCCACAAGAAAAAATTGCAACATTGACCAAATGTCCAATAGATGTTTGAGTTAATTTCATGCATAGTTTTAAAAGTCGAGTCTGAAGAAGGTATAATATACATAGACTTTATAACTATAACTATAACAATTCAGTATAGTCTCAAAAACTGAATCTGAAGATGGTACGGTGTACGCAGATTTTACCACTACCCCGAAAAGGATAAAGTTCCAATAACCATCATGAAACTAATTTAACTTTTATCAAATGTTAGTAGATTCCAAAATCTAATTTCCTTCAATATAATGGGACTTTTCTTAAGTTCATTTTGGGGTTTTGGCTTTTCAAATTGCTTAGGTCACTGTCCCAAATTATGATGAAGATGCTCATGATAAATTCTATGAGCATTTTCATAGAATTTCAACTATGCAACTTTCTTGGGAACCTCTTTTAAAAGTTGATATATATATATATACACTTCAAGATACCTCATGCTACTGATAATTGGATTCCTTATATCTTTTGTGGTACTATGAGATAAAAGACTCCTATGGTTATTTCTCCCACTTCTTTGTCAAAAATATTTGCAAAGGCAAAAACAGATTCAGGATTTGAAGTTTATTGATTTCGATGGTATTGACCTCAAGTCAATTATACAAGTTCATAGTTAATTATATATGTATAGATATTTACTGAATTTCATAATACATATATCTAAGATTATATAAATTCATAAACGACACTCTAGATCCGTGCCAGTTGGAGGGTCTCAAGTTATTCTCCTATGGTCCCTTCTTGCATGCAATTTGAAACATTACCTTTTTTGTTCTCTTCTCTGGTCCAAAATGTGAAGTTCTGTATCTTTCTCTAGATTCTTCCCAACTCAAAGAAGAATATTGTTATTGCATGAAAAATAAGGTAATGTTTTTTTTTGGTTATAATTGCAAAAGAAGGAAAGGACCTATCTTCAATTATTTTCTGTATATGCAACTATTAGATGTGCGAAAAAAGTCCTATGTTGAAAAATTGACGAGATAAATAAGCAATACATAACATGTTAATAAATGATAATCTTTATATATCAGTTAGGAAAAATAAACAGTAAATCTGACCGGCTATTATGTCAAGATCCCTAAAGCCAATCAAAAACAAGCATAAAGTGATCATACCTTTGAGGGAACTACTGTCCAATGAAGTGAAATATAATTTGCCTCATCCTTTTGCTTATAGTCAAAGGATGTGATTCCTCCACAGATGTGTTATGCAAAAGATGAATATATATTTTTTTAGCAAAATTTTGAAATTCACATCCAAGTCTATTTTGGGCCAAAGATATATAGGTGATTATTAGAAACAGAGAATTTTCCAGCCTGTAATGAACAATAACATGTAACATCATTGCCATTTGACATGATATGCTTATGGTGAAGAAGAAGATTCAATAGAATCATCCTCTCTTTTATGAGTTGGATATTCTTTACTTCAAATTTCGGGTAAGCTTGTTATAGAGGTAAAACGTCTCGAAAGTCTTTCATAAGTGAGGGTAAATAATCAAGGGATAGAAATAGAAATCTATACGAAAATACAAGACTAATACTAATATTCCGGGAATGGGAAGGTAAATCCTCAACCTCCATACCCTCCTGTATCAAGGGTCATATCATCAGTGAGCTGAATTCAGAATTTTACATAATGCAAATTCACAATCAGTTAAGTGCATATATGAGACAGCACAAACAAATATGATACATTTACGTTATTTTACCAAAAAACATAAAGATTTTCCATATTGGTATAACTTAAATGGTTGCATACCAGATGGCAAAAATCAACAAAGAACTCAAAATAAAAAACATATGGATGCACCTAGAAGTTAGAATGAGCAAAGCTCTTCTTCAAAATGCACTGCCTTTGGCCCCTGGATTACATAATCCCTTCAAATAGAGAGGATATCAAATTCATGAGGCATAAAATCCTCACTAGGCCTATAGTACTTATCCGGGGAATACAGGCTCAAGTTTGTGACTTGACTGGTATAAAGGCAAGCAAATCTCTCCACCTGTGAATCAACAAAACATAACTTCAGTTTTCAAGTAAAGATCACACTCACAAAGTGCAGGATATATACTGCCCAATTATTCAATCGTACCTGATGTGCAAAACGAGAATTCTGATAACCAGTCTTCATTAGTTGTCCCCAGACCTTGTGGAACTGTAAGTTTTTTATCACTTCATCAGAAAGAAAAAAGAATACTACCTTTCTTGTTGAAAATCCAAATCGATTTATTAATACCGCACCAAGTTAATGTCAAATATAACCAAGGGAATAAAGTTTACGGATATATGCATTGACTTTACAAAGTTTAAAGAAAGTTTAATTGTGTATTATACATATTATTTTAAAATAGTTTTCACTAACGCTTGTTCCAGAAAAAAGGATGAACTGTTCCCTAAAGAAATAATTCCACATTCAGAGGAAATTCTCTCTTTAACACGTGTACCTTTTGGTGACATTCTCGTTGTGCCTGCTGATGACTGAGCCTGACCTCCTCACCTTGGGACTATAAAATGATACCATCAAAACACCAGATTAGTTGAACCCCATAACAGAAGTCATTATACCTATTCACTTCAATGCGATCAAGTACATTTGATTCTACAGGAAACAAATATCAATGTAGAGAATGACCAGATATAAAATTGTTTCTCTTATAATGTTGAAAACTATCTTCCTACTGATACTATCTTGAAATAACCAACCTGCAGCTTGTCAAGTTCCGAAAACATCTTTTCCTTGCTGGCATCATCAGTTTCTCCAGACCTGAAGTATAATGACAGCTCATGAAATGATTGAAAACGACAAAAGTTTTACCCTCAGCCAAATTCAGATGATGGAAAAATTATATTAACATAAATGTACGAGTATTTACTGTCACAATGGTTCGACGAACAACGAATATCTTTGTTCAAGATGCACAATAAAAGGTTCAATAATTTCTCCACTTGAAGGAAATTTGTTACTGCTCACTCACAAGACCACTCCACACTGACATATATAAAGTCCCAAAGAGGCTGAAAGTCTCTACTCATAAATAAAGGCTCTACTTCTTTCTCATCCTCCAACCCACCTTCAACCAATCACTGAATCAACTAAACCTCAATCTTAAATAAGATGAAGTCGGTTGTATGAATTCTCCAGCAAACTTGATTTTGTTTCTTTATTTCCTTATTTCTTTTATCCTAGTACTTCCTTAGCAGAAGGGACTCAACATGAAACAGTTGCACAGATAAAATGCACACCAAAATAAAACTAATGCACATATGAGTTCTACTATACAAAATGAAATGGAGAGAGTCATTACTTGAGAGACCACTTAAGATGGTGTATTTCATCCTCAATGTGATCACGCTGAATTCTCAATAACTGAAGTTGCTGCAAACATGTAAAAATTGCAATTATTACACTACCACTTGCCATTACCATGTAGCTGAACATAAAACAAACTTTTAGGTTTTAAAGTAAAATGCTATAAATTCAGATAATTCATTCACTCCATTTCTTAGCTCACAAGACCATAAAAGAAAAAGTATTTCTGCAAATAACTAGTGTTCAGAATATGGGAGAGAGGTTATTTTCTTATATGAGAAACACAATTACTTCACCGCGATATTTCAATTAAAAAATATATCAAAAGACCTACAACAACAAGATACTCAGTATATTCTTACAAGTGGAGTATGGGGAGGGTGGGGAGTGTACGCAGAAAACTGTTGTTGAAGTGTTCAATGTTGTTGGTGCTGGTTGTTGCCTCCTCATATGGCCTTGGACAATCCTCACCTTATGTGATAACTATTGGGTTGAGTTAGGGCCCAAGGTCTGTGTTATTTATACAGTACAACAAGTCATACTCATCCCTGGATTTATTTCCCAATATTGGGTTCCCATGTTATATTGTCTATGCTCCGCATGTTCCGTCCTGGACGTCTGAAGGGTGTGTTAAAATGTCCCACATTGGTTGAGGGATGGATTATTGTCTCTTTATATATCTTAGACAATCCCCAAAGTTAGATTTAAGGGTCGAGTTAGGTCTAAGGTCTATCTCTTAACAGTTGCAAGTGAGCTGGCCAAACTGTGAGCTACTCAAAAGCTACATAATTTGTCTACTTCACAAAAATATGATGTAATTTTAGAATGTTGATGGCTGTAAGCACAAAATAAATGATTTCCAGGTGATAGGGGTTTGTGTACATCAATTTTTGAAACCCAATGTTATTACATCTTCGGAATACTGGCAAATTTCTTTCTCAATTTTATTTGGACATGAAAATGGTCTGTCCAGAATATTGGTTTACTAGGTAAAGACATCAATTGTATACCTCCAAGACATGCGGTGATATATAAAGTTGACAAGCACTTCAATGATCCGACCCTCATTTCACACATCAGATAGACACAGGCACAGCAAATTTCTCCATTTGCAAAGCCAAATTAAAGGTTCTTGTTGATTATGTTCTGACATATCGAGAAGTACAAGAAAACCTAATGGCGTACAGAGAATTAGTTGAAGGATATGCTTATATACCTTGCGAGTATCCTTTAGTTGCCAGAGAAGTTCAACCTCTCTCTCAAGCTCCGGAACAACAAGCATTGTTCTCCAGCCTGCTCAAACACCACAAGATCCTAAAGTCTAGAATTCAAACTTTCAAAAAAAGAAGCAAAGGAAAATAAATAAAAGAGGTATGAAGGATTTACTACAAGTTGGATATTATTATAAGCCGAGATCATGGAAAACTAGAGAGAACTAAAGGACATTAATTTTCTTTCCATACATGTAAATAGTGGTTCTTGAAAATCTCGGAATATTCTTTTAACTTCATTATTAGTGCTTAAATATAACAGCTAGTCAACAGCTTTCGTGATCTAGTTGCTAACATGGTCACAAATAATGTAAATGCTTATCTATTATTAATTTTATTAGATTTGAAGCATAAAAGTATCACTTATCATAATTGTTCTAATATGGCTCTAACATACTGGAGGTATCAGTTGCTTATACCTAATATGATGAACTAGAAAAGGTGTGCAGCAGCAGTTTTAGAACTCACTACCAATATATGAAGTTTTAAATAAGCAACAAAGAATAAAGCAAGAAGGAGTATATGGAGTGGCGAATGCATACCCAAAACCTTTTTGCTGCGTAAGATATCACCGTAAATGTGATCTCCAACATAAAGAACCTAATTGAAGAGAACAATACTTTACATCCAAATAAGTAAATAAAATGCAGATTAAACACCATATTTAATCACCAAATTAGAAACATGAACCAAGCTAAAGATAACACCAAGTAAATCCATTTCTCCTTCCTTCCGTAACTTCCTAAAGTGAAATTAGACTTCTGGCTGTTAAACTATATGCTGTCTCTTTCAGCCATACTGAGTACTTAAAGATATGAATTTATGCGCTTGCACATAGTAAATCATTAACCAAAAGAAATGCTGAAACAATATAAAGTAGTAATCAAGAGAAGACTATTAAATTGATGACGATGCAATACCTGTGAGCTTGACTCAATTGAAAGTAATTTATGCAAATGGCCAACATTTCCCCCCTGAAGAGAAATTAGGAAAATATCCAGTCATTTTACACAAACCATTAAATGATATGAACTATGCAGCATGAATTATGTTGGCATCCACACCTGGAAAATTCTGCAGCCTTCTCTCAAGCTCTTTAAAGGCAATCTCAAAGAAGTGCTCCCCACCTAATGTATCGGACAAAGTCAGAACATGCACAAAATGGAGGAAAGGCAGTGGCCAATAGAAAACTAAGTTTTCTGCACTGACCTGTGCCATAGGAGTCCCATTATCAGTGTTAATAAGCATGCCACTTTCAGGTTCAACCTCAAAGAGGTTTGCACGAATTTCATCATGGAAAAAACCTGGTTTTGCACTGCATAAAAATCACATACTTCTTTGTCAGCAAGGTGATCATAACTCTACAAACAATAGCTGGAAATATAAGCAGAGACAGCCATTTGCCCTAATATGGCTGCATATGGTTGGGATCAAAAGAAGCACATGTGCATATTCTCGAAAGTTTGAAGGGAAGAAAATGACCTGCCAGTGATGACAACATCAAAGTACTGAAGCCAATCAAAACTGGAACTACATCCATCAGAGGGTTTAAGCCCACAAAGGAAGTTCATAACAATGTTTGTATAGTCCCACAAGCTGCAGACATGTAAGTAAGATCCTTGTAAAATGTAAAGAATGAATAATCATCAGTGAGATAGAATAGTGAGAAGTTTTATTGAAGGGAGACATCTGCAAGAGCATCATTACCTGTTTGTTACCAGAAAAGTAGCACGTCCGGATTCTCTAAGCATTTTGAGCATCGGAACAATTGAGGTATCCTCATTGATATATCTGATGTTGGTAGAGGCAGATAGCAAGATTATCAAATTAGTCAAACAAGCAGTGAGTTATGAGAATATACAAGACAATGAGAATAACGAGCCCATAGGTTTTGCATATTTCTAATGAAAAAGCATAGAAAATGTTCTCAACTATTCACACTTCCACCTGTTCTCATATCTCAAGTATCCTTGTTTTGATATGAAAACTATCAAACATGTTACATGCAACCAAAGACAAGACTGGGATTACCATATCACATCCACGCAAAACATACGTAACATGTCCATATGCAACAACTAAAATGGAAAATGTTTAATGTTAAGGCCAACACCCTACTAGGGTGAAGCGTGTCTTGTTTTCTAAGGTCCACCAAATCTAACATTCCCTGGCATATGAAACCATGCACAGAGTTACTAATTACCACTCAATATGGTACATTCTCTCCAAAAACAACAAACAGTTGTTCATACCTTTTTGGATCTTTTGCAACCATCTGCTTCAAAGTGCCATCACGGTGGCACAAATCTACTGCTGCTCTAACATCCTTGTACATATGAGAGTAGCTGCAAGAGGTGTAAGCAAATAAGCATACCATGAACCCTATACATGGACAGAATACTGCCATTAAAGCAGTAGACATTGAAGACAAACAAGGAATATTAATAAATATAACCCAGAGGCTAACCATCTCCATAGCCCCCCCCCCCCCCCCCCCCCAGCCCCCCCCAGCAGTAAGACATGTCAGATGTTTCTATTGAACTCCATACAAAGACCTACAGAATCTTCCTGTAACATACCCTCAAAGACCTAGCACAATATCTGACATTCATATTTTGCAAGATTTCGGAAAAAAGAAAAAATTGTAAGCAATTCATCACATGCATGCACATACCCACCATAAATTAGCAGCAAGTTCCAGCTCAATGAAATTAGCCCAAGAATGCGAAAAAAGCAAATATTTGCATGGTCAAGATGACGCATGCATATCAAATTGCCAAGGTACAAGAACTAGTCACAAATTTAGATTTTAAATATTTTCACACTTATGAGCATATATATCTTGAAACAGCTACAAAAGATGACAAGACCACCGAAAATTGAGTGAGTTGAAAGATAAAACATATCTATAAAACAAGCTGAACTAGAATATATCACTTATAGAAGATACATCTATGGGACATCTTTATTTTAGAAATATAATTCCTTCCATAAATTTACTACGGGTAAGAGCTACAAAAACAGAATAGCTAGCATTAGAAGAGAACTGAAACTAGATTTGACCACCAGCTTCTTTTGTTTCGAGCATATCCCGTGATAGATTGGTAGATATATTTGTGCAAAACTTCTGTTAATCTGTGTTTACACCTCTAGCTAATGGAAAAGAAAAATAAATGACGAGACAAACGTAAAATAATTGCATGCAAAGTCGCATTATAGAAGACATTGGAAGAGACACAGATAGACATTACTGTCCATAAGGCTAAAAAGAGTACTGGTTACTCTCTTACTCTGCATCTTTGGGAACTTTTCCAGGATTTTTGTCCTTGAAGTCCACCAACTGAGCGAATAAGTAGGCTTCAGCAAGAGAGAAAAGGGTATCAATAAGTGCATAGTCAGGTTCATCAAATGAATCCCGAAGCAAGGTATTGCCATAAGTAGCGACTTTATCTTCCTTTGAAAGCTCTCTAAATCCATGATAAGCTACTTTCACATATTTGTGTCGGTCCATCTGTTACATGAGCAAGCAGAAAAAGGAAGAATAGTTAAATAAGAAAGAAATGAAACTACAATCATAAGCGAGGATGAAGTGAAATTAATGATTAAGACAGGAAACAATTCAATGCAAGGACAAAGTGGCGACAAACCTTTAATATATTCCCCCTCTTCTTATCAAGAACTAAACCTCTGACCATATAGCTCCAATCAAATGACCATTCCAACAGCTACACAACACACAACGTGGTGAAAAATCTCCCAGTTATCACTTCATACATCAGTAACAATAAAAAAAAAAAAAAGGAAAACCCAGATTCAATAGCCAAATAATCTGTCAGCACATGAAATAAATGAGCCGTAATTTTTTTACGGCAATCAGCTCTCGACAATGTATCCCAAAACAATTAATTGCTTTAACACCAAAGACAGAATTATGTCAAACATTCAATTTCTAAATCAACCTTTTCAACTCAACATTATGCATAGTAAATAACATTATACCAATATCACACTCAGGGTCATTGAAAGCCTCAATTAATGATGATGCACATATAAACTGCATTGTGCATAATATCCATAAAATTAGATGAACAGTCTTATAGTGCAACTGCCAAATGAATAAATGCAGATTGAGACAACTAACTAGCACATAAATATGCCTCATCAATTTCTATTTTGACTTTTCCTTATACAAGTATTAATAGTACCTCGGCAGGGTATCCTAAATCATAAACAAGCTTTCTGACAGTGCCTTCATATGCAAGAGATTCAAAAGTCTCAGGTTTGTACTGTGCCAGTGTGTAATCCATGTCAAATCCAACAGCAACTATACTTTTCATGTTTAAGGACCTGTTACAGAATATCTGCTTTCCTATGACAATATCACACCCTCCTTCGGGAGATGACCATATGCATGAACGCTGACCACCAATGGCACCATTTCCCTTCTCAAACAGCGCTGCCCTGGTATCTGCACCAATGCCATCCATTGTACAACTTGTATGTAACTGATCTCTCCCTGAACAGTAATAATGAAAATTAGCTAGTAGGCGATAGTATATGAGAATGTCGAATTCCACAACAAATCTGAAAATTGCAGCATGCACAGAGCTTCCAGTTCAATGCTTGAGGAATAGGAAAAGCATCATGAACTCGCAGAGAAAACTCAAACAAGAAAAGATGTTTTGACCAATCCAATGTTGGTTCCTATAAGACAAGGCCAAAATCTATCCTTAGAGATGACAGGTATAGAGATGGCACCCATGAAGAGTTGCATATCATCTCCTGGCCTTTGATTACAATCATTCAGTTAAGGCCTTTCTTCATAAAAACTCATTATGGTATTCATCAACTGCCAGTTTAGTTGGTTTATCTATTAGATTGCATAAGTTTATAGTAATCATTGCTCAAACACTGTATGCTAATAAGATACTTTCTTTATAAAAAAAGGTTGACAAGAGAAAATTGTTGATTTAAATGCAAACTACCAGAATTACATTCTCCGCAAATTTATTATTAACAATAAAAGAGACAAGACCATTCACCACAAAGAGGAATTAACTCTACAACTTCAGCTGCATCTAACATAACTATTTGAAATTCTGAATGTCAATTTCCACCCACATAAGGCAACTTCGATATAACAGTAACAAACACCAGACTCATCAGCACCAACCTTCTCAACTTTCTTTGGGTAGTGGAAATAGTACTATAGATATTAACTTAGGCACTGTAGGAAAATAACAAGGACCATGAGTATACTTTTGAATGAATTGACTCTTCCTAGGACTAAAATCTTAATATTTACCTTTAATCCCACTTGTAAACCAATTCAAAGGCCAGGTTTATGCCCCAATGTGTAAGCCTACACTCCAAGATATTGAATACCTATATTTCACCAAAGTGAATTTTACTTATTACAATCGAACACCTATTGTAAATATGAGCCAAGCTCCAACTAATCTATTAAGCGGAATTGTCTCTTCTCGATCAACTATTCAAGAAGCATAGCCTCATAACAGTGCTCGTAAGCAGCCATAACAAAGACAAGAAAGTGAAACTGATAGATCATAAACTTAGTCACTTCAAAAGAACATCAAAGTTACACCGAAATTGTGGGGAAAAAAAGCCTTCAACTCGACACAATTTACTTTCCTAGATAACAGAACCAAAATAGTTCAAGCTGAAATCAGCAGCAAATCAAAATTCTCAACACTACGAACTTTCCAGCCTTAAAGAAAGAGAGATCAATTACCATGAAATTTCCACAACATTACAAATGATATTTCTCAACTCACGAGTGAAGTCGTCATATAGAACCCAGTCAACAAAAAAGCATGAAAGGGACCGCACACCACCGCTAAGTACATTTTCTTAGAAAAACAGTGTTTAGTTAGCTGTTGAAAGTAAATGCAATGAATAGTAAAATACAACAACTTCTACAATCACAAACCGAGTTAAGCAAGTAAAAACGTCACCAACCTTTACGACAAACCGATTTCCCTCTGTTCAGAAAATGATCGGAACTGAAAATCCCCAAATGGAAATGAAAACTTCTAGTAAAAGATGAAACCAGTTGTTTCGGAGGAGAGAATACAGAAAGATAGAGAGAAACTGAACGCTTTGGAATTCGCATCTTCGACTTAAATAGCCATTTTGGGGATTTAAAATTGGAATCAAATGCCGCGTGTAGCCGAAACTTATAAGTATTCGAACGGGTTGTTACTGATGACGATGAAGATGCTATTAATATGCTTATAGAATCACAACAATTTGCCCCCTTCATACATTAAACATCCATACAGTATCTATCTATATTCTATACAAGTGTATTCTTCTTCTTCTACTACTGTATACAACTTTTTCCTGATTAAACAATGGTTTTTTCCGGATTACAGGAATTGAATTCCATTTCCCATTTCTACACGGAATCGGATTCCCACAGTATTTTGAGGTGACGTGATGCAACGGTGAGTTGCCACGTGTCTAGGGTTCAGTCACCGGAGATTGACCGGAAAATTGGAGCTTAAAAATGGCGGAAGAGCAATTTTAGCTTAGGGGTAGGGATGTAGACAGGTGAAATTTTCAGTGCCATTGCAATTTTTGAGGCGACCGTTTTTTTCCCTCATTATATATACTTCTCAAGAATTTACCGCGGTAATATACAGTAAGAATATTCCCCCACTGTATATTGGTCGGAGTGGTAATTTTTTTCTTTTACCTAATTAAAGTTTTATAAATGATTTTTTTTGTTTATCATTAAAATATTTGATACTTATATTAGAGTTTGATTAATTTAAATTTCATTTTATAAGATAAACTTAAGAGAAACTATCAATATTTTTTTCATATTCATGACTCTAATTGAGACATTTAGTTAAAAGGAGAAATAACATCATTTGTTCTACCATTTTATTTGATGACAAAAAGTATTATTTAAATGATTTTTTTAGTATTTTATTAGTAATTTATATACGAAATTTAGTACTCACAAAATAATAAAATACTTCCTTTTGTCTCTATGCAACATTTTTAATTGGCTAATGAGTTTAAAATGAAGATTTTTTAATAAAATAATTATTTTTGTTGTCAAACAATAGTTATTCATTATTAATTTAGCATATGAATTAAAAATAGTAAATGATAGAGGTAATTTACCAAATCACTAGCTATAAGTTATTTTAACATTGAAAAATGAATATTATTTAATAGCAAGGGTAAGATAAACACAAAATAGTAAATTATTTCATTGATTTTATAAAATAGACAAGTATTGTTGAATATCTTAAAATAATATAAATATATAATTGATAACTAAAAATAGACGGAGAGAGTATTACTATTTAAAATAAGTCATAAATATATAAATTATATTTACATAAAAAAATCAATCATGTTAAAGTAAATTTAAAAGAAAATATGACACGTGAATTGAGGATAAAGATGGTATAATTTTTTGGCAAAATATTCTACGTCAAGAATATTAGTACTTACAATACTGTTATTAACTTATTATTGAAAAAGTTTCTTATCAAGAAAGTACTCTTAGCATAATTATTTTGGTATTCCCTGTGTTCCATAATTAAAAATATTTGTCTCACATTACTTTATTACATATTAAATTAGAATATTAAATTTTTCTCATTTTCCGTCTATAATTAATATGACTTTTCCGTCTACAATTAATATGACTTCTGAAAATTTAAACAAGTTTTGGTACTCTTTCTATCCTATATTAGATAGCATCTTACTAAAAATATTTATCTCATTTTACTTGATCACTTATTAAATCATGATAGAATTAATTAATTTTTTTTCCTTTTTACCTCAATAATTAATATGACCTTTGAAAGTTTAAACAAATTTTGAAGAACCAACAATTTCTTAGTTCAGGAGGCAAATTATTATGAATAAGGGTAAAATAGTAAAGTTAATTAATCTATTAATATTTTTTTAGTCACCTTATAAAATAGAAAGTGTCCATCTAATATGAGTTGGACGGAGGTTTTAAGTTAATCATCATTATCTTCTTAAATGTTTTATTTTTCACAGTTTGTCACCCTATGTTTTTTGGCAAAAAGTTGTAGATTAAAATATTACTATTTACATTGCATTTCACGTGGAAAAATTAATCACCTTTCAAAAGCATTAAAGCAAAACCCATTCATTCCTTTTTGTTGTCAAATAATTAGCAACACAAGTCATTATCTAATTAAAAACAAGGTAGAATTTTTTTTTAAAAAAAATAATACGCCACTAGCTGGAATTAATATTAGACTAATAATTTAAATTACTACTATTTAAGAATTAGACATGTTGCTTCATGGAAAAAGAAAGATTTGTGCACTAAAAATTACTTACTCTTTTATCCAAATTTATGTGATACGATTATAATTAGGTGAGTCTAATTAAAAAAATAAAATGTTTTAGAAGTGTTATAAAAGTATTTAAAAGATATTTCAAATTATTATGTAATTTCTAAATATATGATTTTATTTTAAAACTTTTGAATATTTGATGTTGATTGTTTTACTTAAAAATATATGTAAAAGGAAAAATGACTTAGTTTTCGAAAAACCGATTAAACTTGTGGTTTAAGAGAAATCGAGTTTCCAAAAGAACAGAGTCGCCACTTAATTTTTTAGTAAAAAATCAAGAAAAAATACTTACGGTTTTCAAAAGATTTAAACAGATAAAATCAATTGAAAACGGGTTCGAAGTTCAATATACATTCCGAGAAGGTGTTAGGCCCTCGGAATGCCCGCTAACTTGCGGTTGACTGGCGATTTGACTAAAAGTGATTTTTTGACTAACTTTGAAATTTTAACTAAATAAAAGAACTCATTTATATTAACTATATTTTTTATTTTATTTTATATATATATATATATTGTTTTTTTTTAAATTGACTTAGTAAGAAAACTAATTTATTTTGAAATTTTAACTTAGTAAGAAAACTAATTTATTTTAACTTATTTATTTATTACCATTATTATTTTTATCACTTTATTTATTTTAAGAGGGAATGGACTAAAGGGGAATTTTCAAAAGGGGAAATAACTTAAGTGACAAGACAAATAAAGTTAAAGCTAAGTATAAAACAAAATACTTTAATTTACATATATATATAAATGAAATGGCCATCTTGAGGATTTTAATTAAATTAAACCATAAGAGTAAATAAAATGTTAGCCAATCAACAAAATAAATAATAAGGGAGGGAAAGAAAATATCAAATTTGGGCTTTGGCCCAACCTGTCCTAAGTCTAAAAGAGGAATGCCAAAATAATGGGCTTTGACCCATATTGATTAAGATGAAATGCTGATCATTTCATTAGGCTTTTGGCCCCGTTTTGGCTTGGACCTGCTGTAGCAAATAGACTTTGGGCTTTAGCCCATTTCTCCTCTGAAAATCTGCATACGTACTGAGTGTATATTCATGTATATGGACTGTATACCGGCCTGTTTTCATGTATAACATCCCACACACTGAATGTATACAACCTGTTCCACCTCTCCAACACCTGTGATTCTTCTTTTAACCACATGTACGCTGCTCTTTGACCTGTATATAGCGTATATTGTTGTATACCAGTGTATACAGTTGTATATAACGGGTATACAACTCCTTTTTGAGGTCTGGGAGGCTTGCATTAGCTTCTCTTACACCCTCGAACACCAAAGACCGACTCGATACTCGGAAATGCAGGGAGATGATGAAAAAGAGTCCAAATTGGACTCCATATGAATTCGCATGGTACAAAAAATAAGATAAAATTAGCACCTAAAAATAAATATAGAATAACAATGTGTCTAAAACAAATTACTACAGCAGCTTCCAAGTTAAAGTATGTCAAACAAAATTGTTTTGATCCATTAATGAAGATTTAAGAAAAGGGGTAGTGAATCCACAAATAATGTGCAAAATTACTAGAGTTGCTCATGCATGAACTACTGTTTTCAAACAAATTTAACAAAAAGGGAAGCCAACTCTCACATTGCTCACAAGTTATTTGTCATTTAATGCAGAATACGATGGCAGATAACACCATACTAGCAAAATTCCTTTAGCAATAAGCAATTAAAGTGAGCAAACTCATAAGTAAAAGGAACAAGAGGCTGCCAGGCCTAAAATAAACTAGACACCCATATTAACACTTAAACAAAAGCACATATGTAAGTTAAAATTTAAATACCCAATTATTATCCTTTGCCCAAGAAATCACACAGATAGGAGAATCAACCAAAATACACTCAAGTAAAGAACAATTACAGGAAATCATGCTTCAGAATGAATTGCAAATGGAATAGATTTAGTAATATAAATAAGGAAAGAAACAGAGCAAACAAACAGATAGATTGAAGCTCAAACCAATATAAAACTTAATATGTATGAATTAGAGACATATTATGATCTGCGACTAGAATCTAAGCCATAGGCAGCTCATATTTCAGACAAAGCAAGCCAAGAACCAATTTAAGATCATAACAAAAACAAAGATTTAAACACAAGCTGAGATACACAGTACTTTACACATTCAGAACCTCAAACGAGTCAACTAGTGACTATAAGCGGCTATCAGAAACCATATTCAATTATTTTGCAGAAAATTATACAAAGTGTTAGATCGAAAACAAATGATATCCAAAGAATCTTAACTATGAATAACACATTGAAGCAGAAATAGAAAAAATGGAAATATCACCTTATTCCGGGCAGCGACTGGGACAAGAAACGAGCGGAGGAGACAACGAGCTTCTTCCAACACCACACACAAAACTCCGAGAGCTCCGACAAGCAACAAGAATGTCTCGAAAAAAGATATCAACGCTTGAATACACTCTATAACACTTGATTTCTTAAGTCTGTATTTTTGTTTTAAAAAAAAAATCTATGTATCTTTGCTTTTTCAGGACTCCAAATTTTCAACAAAAAAATCTTCCAATTTTTTCCCCCCCCACAATACAGTGAACAACAAAACAATTATATAGGAAAGAACTAGGGTTCGAAATCAGGGGGGAAAAAGGATGAAAATTGAATTCAAGAACCATTTCAAAATTCAAAACCTTTCACTAATTTGGACAAACACCATTTTCTCGAGATTTTCGGCCCATTCCGAAAGAGGAAAGGGGTCAACCGCGTGCTGCTGCGACATTAATGCGGAGAGAGACGTTGATGAAGAAGCCAAAATTCACAGCGTACGTCTTGGACTGCTGTACTGTTTCTCGTCTTCGTCGCTATCGTTGGGGTCGTTTTTTGCTTCTGCTTGACGCGCTGCTGGGTTCTCTTTTTAACGTTGAAATAAACGTTGTTGGGTTCCTTTTGAGAATAGAAAAGTGGACGGGTCGGGTCAGGGGAATGGGCTGGATTGGGAAATTTGGTTGGTGTATGTATGTATTGTATTGTTAATGGGCTGGGTATTGAGGGGAAGTTGGAGTGGGTTGTGTGGGCTGCTGACAGACTAGTAAAAAGGCCCAAATTTGGTCTTTGGATGGGTTTAAATTGAGGTTAGAAAATGGGTATGTTTGTAATAAACATAGCCAAGTGTATTGCAAAATTGGCCCAAAATTGAATGTTATGTAGTGGATTTGGCTAAAT